AAGTTGAAGTCTGACTGCTTTTCAATTCCTCCAGCTTCTTCTTTAAAAGAAGTTAGGAGGGGACATAACAGGACAGGTGACCCAGGTGTGATCTGAGTTGACCACCAGAAAGTAGTTCATACTATAAATGTCACACCAACTATAAACTGGGGAATTTGCCATGGATGTCCTCTCTTACTTCGATGGTCACCATGCCTGGAAGGTCTTGCCCACCATTCATTTTCCAAAGCTCACCTCACTCCCATTGCTAATCATCGCGATTTCACTGGCACATGGCCAGTGACTGCTGTGTGAGCTAACTTTTGATTGTTTTATTATTGTTTTTTTCTATATTTATTACAGTTCATTAGTATTATTAGTATTTTAGTTTGGTTTATATTAATCAATAAATTGTTCCTATCTCAACCCATGGGTATTTCAACCTTTTTAACTGATTCCCTCCCTCACCCTACTTGGAAGGAAGGGAGGGAGCAAGTGAATGTGTGGTGTATAGCTGTTTGCCAGGTTAAACCATGACAGCCCTTTTATTGGCTAAGTGAAGCTAATAGACAATCCTTGCCAATCTGGACCCACTGCAGCTTGTGGACTACAGATACAACTGTTCCATTTACCTCTGTCCTCTAAAACAAACGATGATGAATTGTGCCCCTGCTGCACTTTGCAGATCAACTCTAAAGCAAAGTCTAATTAGAAGCACAGTGTAACAGTCAACTCTGGATATGATTTAAACCCTGTGTTACACTGAGAGCTTAGAGACTCAAATAAACAGCTTGCCAGCTGTAAATCAAGGTGTACTTTTGTTCTTAATTAAAGACTTAATTTATTTTCTGCCATTTAATAATGTCAAAACCAGACCACTAAGGCAAACTATTCTTTTTTATGAAATACCACAAAGGTAATTTAAAAATGTTCTAGCAACTTGCTGCATTTTACTGACCTGAGCAGTTGGCTGGAGCTCAAGGTCTTGCTGATTGCTTTGGTCAGGAGAAGAAATCAATGGAAGAACTGCCTGTTCTGTTTTAGACATAATCCTCAATGTGTACTGTATTACCTCAAATCGTTTCTCTCAAGCACAGAAGTACTTGAACACAGACTCAGAGAGAAAGAGAAAGGTAGCAGAAAAACACACCTTAAAGAGTAAGTCACTGATGAGCAGCCTTTCTACCTTCTTCATTTATTTGTACATATATATATATATACACACACACACATTAATGTGAGTAACTTCAAGCACTACTTTCTTCTCTACATGGGAAAAGAGAAGGCCAAACCATGACATGATGACAGGGAGAGGTGGGTTCTCTGTTACACATTTTCAGGTTTACTGTCTGGCAGCCAGCTGGGCTGTTGGATGGGGAGAGCAGTTTTGCAGCCATTCTTAAGTCACCTGAATGGTCATGTTCCTCTTGAGTGAGAATAGTGACAATGTTACAGAGTACTGACAAAGTTGGCAAGAAAGGTGATGATAACACCGGATCCATCTCCTTACTGTCAGCTGATAAATTCTTTGTAAGTGACCCAACCTGTAGACCTGTTGAACTATGGGGAATGCTCAGGTCATAGCACTAAGGCAGTCTGGTTCTTCAACCACATCTCCTCATGGAGACAAGCAGAATCTCTTAATGGTGATGACTGTGGTCCCAAAACCTGCTCACTGCATTTGGGCCAGCTGCATTTAATGTTATCTGTAGGAGCACCAGGAAGACAGAAATAGGGTCCATAAGTACAACACTAATTTATTTTTTAAGAAAAGGAAGGAGATCTAAGGTAAAAAAAATATATATATATATATAACTGGTGATCGCATTTGGAAATAATCAAGAGCTGAACAGATTATTACTTATAACATTAAAAGAGAGTAAGTTCAATAACTGCATCCAGATGCTTCTTTCCTCCATCACTGAAGAAGACGTGACTGTTTACACTCTCAAATTTTATGCTAGTATGAAGAAAAAGTTTTAAGAAGTGGGAAAATATCTGTAACATTTGGCCAATTGTTCTTTTGTCACTAAAAATTGCCAAAACAGACAAAATTCAAGGGATTAAAATCTCAAATATTGTCATCAGGTTGTCTAATGGGTGAACAAATAGCATATTCAGAGATCATCTAAAATGGCTCCAAAATAACTAGCTACTGTTAACAACAGGATTTCTGTGTTGACAGTATGACTGTGTTGTCCGTCTACCTTTTTGGATCAGTGCTTGCCCAAGATCTTTGTGCTTCACATATCATGGGGTCACTGAATTTTCCTTTTTACTTTCAGTTATACTCTTATAGTACATTCTTGTAGCTTACTTTTACACATATCCTGAATAATTCATATTTTTAACCAAGCTATCCCAACACTTCATCACCCCAGATAATAGAGTGTTGAGTGCATCAGGAAAACGATAGGACAGAAATGAAAGTTCACTGACTTCTCCATAGTCTACTAAGGTTAACCACCTGATCAGAATGATGCTCAGTAACATATGCTGAAAGTAACTGCTAACATACCCATTCAGCTGATGTGGATTGCTTCCAGACCTATCAACCTCCTAGCAGAAGGCAAGACCTGGTAATAAACACATGACTCCGGCTAAATCTGAATGAATGGGGAAGCTCAGAGAGGCCATCAACCTACATTTATTTTATTTGTGATATCTGTGATTCCAGCATCTGAAATCACAGAAGGTATATAGGATCTCACCCCAGCCGTGTGAGGTTGTTCCCTCCCACGGTGCGTGTACAGTTCCTGTGATTACTGAACTTCTGATGATCACAATTAGGAGCAAGGTTTCTTCTGTGATGAAGATTCAAAGCTTCTCATATCAAGAGTCTTCACTGCAAGTTGCAGTGAACACTGACAGCAGACTGCCTAAGCATATGGGCCTGTCCCTTTGGCCTGGCTGATGGCATTGAAAGCCCCTGAATTCACTGAGAAGTGTGCCAGCCATTAAAATCAACAATGTCTTTACTGAGTAGCAATAACACACGGAGCAAGATAATCAGCTGTGTTTTAGAATACTGCCATCACCCCCAGAGATAGTGTGAATTGGTCCAATATGATTTGGAGAGCAGAAAATCTAAGTGAGAAAAAACATTGCACCTCTAAGGGAAACATGGATGTAAAAGAAACCCTTACTTTCAATTGGAAACATTCACAGACACATGTAGATGCACATGCACAGCAAAAACAGGGCTGAATTACAGTAACTGTCAGCTACTGCTGCTGAACTGATATTGACTAGGAAGCTTCCATTCCAGTTACTGCCTTTCTTTTCTTGCAGGATTATCTGTGTTACTTTCTCAGTGAAAGCAGTAAAATCTTCACTTCTATACAAGCACTGAAAAACTAATGCAGGTTCTTGGCACTCAGTCACATATAAGCAGGCAAATTGGCATAAAAGCATATGAATCCCCAACTCAAGTAGATGAATCCCCAACTCTTAGCTACCCCGGAAGACATTTGTCCTCCCTTTTACATAGGTAACTGGGCTGCTTCCAGACTTTGATTGGATTTGCTTGAACTGGCTCCAATTACAAAACTCATCTTGTTCTTCCTCCCCAAAGGTAAAAGCCACACTTCCCTGGCAACTTAATTGTAAACAGTTTTGAGGCAGAAGAATGAGCTCTAACAGAATGGATCAGTGCAGCTGAAGCTTTAAATAGACAAAATGTAAATACAGTGAATCTGATTAATTAGTGAAGTCTGGGGGAGGAATTTTAGTGTGCCCTTTGGCATAAAACATATCCAGTTAAACTCAAAATTCAGTGTGAAGATTTTTTTCCCTTTGACAGAAGCACCCAGGTGCAGCAGAGCAACTAGTTTCAATACCATGGCTGTGTAGACAAAAGGTGCCTGAACAGGGCTATCTATACAATGAGTTAATTTTTCCTCTCACATTTCTTTTGCACTGCTATAATACTGTTATGTTCCATGCGGTTTGGTTTTGCTTTGTTAATTAATATTCTAAAATTGGTTGACCTTCAGAGAAGGTAAAAAATTTCTCCAAGCTACCTCTGATGGCTTCTCTGTACAAGGAATATATGCCAAACAAATACACACAGTTCAGCATTCAGATTATATGAGAACTAAAATATCCCAAATAAAGTCTGTTACTCACAGCTGACCTAATGTTCTGAAGCTGTAAGGATTTATATTTGTACTTAATTTCAAATATGAGAATAATCCCATCATAACATGAAATGTACTGTGGGAATAGGGAATGATGGTTAATGTTGCATCACATAGCATGCATTATGAAAATGTTGGGTTTTTTCTACTGGGACAAGCATAGGCAAGTTATAATAAACCTAATTTCACATTGTATGTTAAACGATAATTTTAATTTCAGAAGAATCTGCCTCTTTTTTGTAATACATAAAATGGCAACTGGCTCTGTCACATCTCAGGAATACCTGTCTGTTTACAGCTTCTCACACCTGGAAATTCTCATCAGGTAATTAACATCCATGACACAGGAGTCATTGCTACAACACAATTTTATTATATGTTTTGCAGACTAGTCCCTATCCTTTGGCTATAATAAGCATCAAAAACATCACTCTGCCACCTAAGCAGCTTGAAAACGCAATTCTTTCTGCTTGTCAAGACTGAGACTTGCAGGGAAAGCCAGGAGAATTCAGTCCCTTTTAAACAGTGTCTTTTTTTGCCTTAGGTTTCTGGAGGACTCAACAAAAGAATGCTCAAGGCAGGCTACTGCTCTTGGCTGACTCAGCTTTACCATGTAAGCACATCTGAGAGTACAGTACAGCATCCCTACGCCTGCAAACTCAACTTAAATATATAAGTGCACATCTACAAACTGCAACTATATTTATTAAATACCATAATACTTATGCTAGTAAAAATTAAAAAAAAGTTATGCTAAACAGTTTTAAAATGAGATAAACAATGCTCTAAAAACATTCCAATCCCTATAATGGAATTTTAAGACCGTGAATATGGAGAACATGGGTTTAAAAAACATGAGCCTCACAGTCCCTCAGCACTCACCATTCAACCACTTGGAGTTGTACTGGGCAGTGCGGAGAGGAGGAAGGGCCCCCAGGCTGCGATAGATGGCAGGATCCCTTCCTGGAAAATCCATGGCTGTAGCAGCATATAATTCCCCACTGGAAGTCAGAAGAGCAGTGGAGTTGTGCTGAGGGCTGTAAGGACAACGAGCCATGCCACTGATTTGATCGTGTATCTCTGTCAAGTTACTTAACTGTAAAAGAGTGAGAAAAAGGGATTAAAATTACCTGAAATTTGTCATTTCAGCCAAGTTGCATCAATCTGAGCAAAATCCTATCACCAGTTATCTGCTTTGGTATTGTACAACAGTAATGAACTGACCTTTATATCAACCTGAAACTGTCTCATATAGAAAGTTTTACTGTTGCCTGATCTCTCTTTTGCCACTTCGGTATGTTAAACATGCAAATTAATCATTAGCCACTACGCCTAAAATGTTTTGTATTAGAAGTGACTCAAAATTATTTATCTCTACACAGATTGTTATCATGAAAAAAAAGCAGATCTGATCACCAGAATCAACTAAGGTATTCACTGTAACAAATGTTCAGCGAATGAAATAAAAAAAAAAATCTATTATTTGTTTTGTTCGTGTTCTAGGAAAGTATCTCACATGAAAAATTAGATTAAAAAAGGACCTTTTCAGTTCAGCAGAACTATCTCCCTGATTTAGTAGCTCTAATACTTTCAGCATAAAAGCACAGTATGATGTTAATATCTTATTTGAAAATAAAGGCACAACAGCTTAACAGCACTTTTATAATAAATGTGCCAAGGAGTTTTTTGCCAATACAGCTAGCTATTCTTTGTATTTAAATGCCTCTCCCTTCCTGAAATACATAGTTGCTGTAGTCCAAACAGTGACATTTTGATTTTTATACTTAATATTAAAAAATAGACTCTCATTCTCTGATACACGTAAATTATCACTAGGTTTTTTTCAGGAAGAGAATAGCAGATTTTCCCAACCAAGATTTCTCATTCTCACCTGTCCGAAGTCACTAATAGAGGTACTCTCATCTTCTCCAGATATACACGTACACAGTATGAAGCTACCTAACTACATTTCATAACTAAACCAGTTGACGCCAACCAAACGGGACAGAGTGGCAGAAGTTTAGAAATACCTAAGGTTCATGAAAAATGACATGTGGGAGGAACTGAGCTGCTCGTACCTGGGCTCTCTCCCACAGCTGAGAAAATGACTGCAAAAAGAGACCATCAGTTAACTCTCCTCTTTGGCCTGTTACTAGCCAAATCATCCTCCTACACATCAGCTCACCCGTCAATATGCAAAACTTAAGTCATACCGTCCGATTGGTGCAGATAGGAGTGAATGCGTTGGTTCCACAGGTAAAGAGATGGTTGCCTCCAACAAGAAGTACTCGAATGTAGTTTTGGCACTCCTCCTACCATGCAAAAAAGAAAAATTACATTCAGTGATACTTCAAAGGATAGAGGAGGCTAATTACAATTTGCTTTCCATAGCTATGTGTTTGCACAAAGAAATTTAGGAGAACAAGGCATACCTGACGTGTTAGCAATCATTATCTACATAGATTTCCTAACTACAACACACACATCCATCAGTCTTTCCAAGAAGTTCTTAATAGGATAACAGTAAACCCCTTCAGTACTGAAGATTTCTTCTAAGTGTGTATTTCAAAGGTCTAGCTAAACTCTGAAGTGACAGATGCTGACTTAAATAATACACTGCTGTTTCAAGAGGTCAGATGCTGCTTTTGAAGACAGATCAGGCCAAGTGGGGAAGCTGGGAGGAAAACAGGAGAAAGAACAGGTTTTCAGCAGCACGAGTATGTTGAAACCAGTACAAATAAAATTCTTGGGATGTTCAGATGCAGATTTGTCACTACTAGTTTCATAATTTGCACAATATTTTTTATTAGAAAAATCTATGTTTCTGTTAATTTGAAGTTTTTCAAGAAATTTCACTACTTCAGTACACAGAAGCTCACCACTGGGGAATAATTTTACATGTTTTTTACCCCTTTAGGATGTGGGAAGTTTTTATGATGTTCATTTCCATCATTCTAGAAGCTAGAAACCAAGAGCAATTTCTACTTGCTTATTCTGACAGAAAGTCTTTTTCTACAGTACTAAAAATCTCCCAGAACTGTAACTAGGAAAGATTCAAACACTCGTCCTGCAAAAATCAATGTCCCTCTCTAATAAAATGAACAAAATCAACAAAATGCTTGAAGAAAATGAAGTTTCCTGGAACCTTCCATTTGAATGCTCTCTAGCATTCATTCACAAGATAGTTTCTTGTAAAGCATTAAAAAAAACTTGTGAAAATACAGCTATGCAATACTAACAGATAAAGTGGAATCATGTAAGTAAATCCACGTAATAGTCACGGTGCAGAAGTCTCATCATCTGGCCTAAAGTTATATTAAAGGTATTGCTTGTTTATCTTGAAAATAGGCTCTTATACTGGAAGACAAGAAATATAATTCTGATTAAATTGAACAGGGACAAAATAGACTTCAAAGCAAGATGGGCAATATACTTTAAAGATCTCTGGGAAAATTCTCAGAATTTATTATCTATACCTTTCCTCATGCAAAATAAAGTAAAAAAAAAAGCCCCACACAAAACAAAACACAACCACACTCTATAAAATCACAGAAAAAAACCCTCTCTTTGAAAAATACCCCCCAAAAGTGCATTTGTATCAATCTCTCATGAAAATGTAGCCCTTGAACACTTCACTTTGAGCCTTTAAATGTAAGTGCTAAGCATCCTGGAATTAAGATTTGATTCCCACTGGAAATAATACAAAGTCTTTATCTTGAACTTATCAAAACTGCCAACCTAATTTTCTTTCAACCAAATAGAAGCAGATATGCAACCATATAACAGACTTGGGCAGTGCAACAAGCTTTTTAAAAAGTAATTATTTCACTTCTGGGATGTTTCTCTGTTCCAGGTTGTTTTAACAACATAGACACACAAAAAAAAAAGGCAATTCCACCCTTTTTTTGAGAGATAGAAAGGTGCTCAGGTAGGTTCATAAGATATAATACAGTAATTTATTCCTCAGGCTGCTTCTATCCTGCCCTTTGCAGCACGCCATGGAATGCAAGTGTAGGAAAAATAAGTGGGTACTGACATTACGACCCATCCAACCTCTCCTCTTCATATTCCACAGCTCCCTGAAATTGTGCCATTGCCAAATTACTTGCATGCTGATCACCCACTCTTTCTGTTCAAAAGCAATGTTAATTTTTTTAAACTCTGACATTCCTGGGATTCACAGGATTCTTCTCTTTAATATCCCCATGTCCTGTGCCAACTTCACAACAACTCATACTGCAACAGGGCAAATAAGATATCTCATACTAGATTTTTGTTGTGTACATAGTACAACAAAATCAAAACTGAAAGAACAGCTTTGACAATTCTGTTCATATGACAAAAATCCACAATAAAACAAATTTAAAAGATAGTTATTACACAATCACCACACAAAAACATACTGAAACAGGACTCTCATATTTAGTAATTTGAAATGTTCAGAGTCACTTTTCTAGCTCTGAAGTCAAGCTTAGCTGGTTCACCTTTTAGATGTGCAAAAAAGAGATGTGTGTTGTAGAAGTGGCATTGGTGAATGCAAAGGACTTTAAAACAAAAGGTTTTTTTTTGTCTGGAGGGCGGTGGTAGGTTTGGTGGCCATCTTTCACATAGTCTCATTTTACATTTCGTCTTGTCTTCTATGCCATGCACTTTCCTATTTTCCTAAAAAAATACCTCTGAAGGAAAGAAATTCACTTAGCAAGTATTTCCTACTTTCATAGTAGCATACCTGAAACAAAATACAAGTATTAGAAACAATTAAGCAGCCAAGCAGGCTAGGTTGCTACTTAAGTTTAAGACCAGCTGGAGAGTTCAAGGACAATCTGACTATATGATTATCCATCTGCAGCAATGTTTCTTGCATAGGCTAAAGTTTTAAATACACCTTTAATTTTTTAAAATTTAAAAATTTTAAAATGGATTTAAAATGGTTTTAAAATATCCATTTGGCTTATTGTATTTTTACTCAAGTGTATTTATATTTTTCCTTTATAACAGTCCCTACCACAAGTGGCAGTCTGAATGGCCAAATTTATTCTCTTAACTGTGTGTGGTGTTTTAGACTTCTAAATGCTAACACATGCTGGTCACAAGGACATCATTTTGTTTGGCTCACTCCTGGAGCCACTAGTTATTTTAAGCAACAGTTTAAATTTGTGGATAAACGTCTGAAGTCTCAGTAACAAACATCAGCCTTCAAAAGTCAAGTGTGCATTACACTGTCAAATGTGACAGATGTCCCTATATATTTTCCCCTTCAGCTCTTTTCCCTCATTGGCTCCTAAAGCATAAACCTCTGAACAGCTACTACTGCTAACAGCTAGAGGCAAAAATTCTGCGCAGCTTCTTTCTGAAGAACAAGAGAAAAAGAGTTGTGTTTAACCGACCATTATCTCAGAACTGCTAGAGTTGCTCCAGGGTCCAAAGCTAGCTTCTGGTTTCAGGGCTTTCCATCGGCAAACTGACCTTTAGTTTTGCTGCCTGAAACCATTGGCTGTGTGCTACTCTGCAGGCAGCAGAGCTTGAAACCAGGATTTGAATGAATAACTTATCCACTGCCACCCTTGTAATCCTTCTCTCTCCTTCACCACAGTCTGGGCTGGCCTTGTATATTTTGTCTCCAGTCTTTCCTGTTCCTTCCCTATTGTCACACATGTGTCTGCCCTGAAATCTGAAGCCGCTCTGAGAAATGTTATAGAAACTCTCCAATTTGGGATGGATCTATTTGGACAACAAAAAGCAAGCAAGCAAGCAGTCTTTCTGAAAACTGTAACTGGAATTACTGCGTCTCCCAGGGGATTTCCTCTGAAGAGGGGCAATGCACTGTAGCACTGTAGTGAATTCCTCCTCATCTGATTATTACCAGTTTTTCCAAGGTAAGGCTTTTGTGGTTCGACTAGGAAGAGGAACACACCACAGATCAGGTGCTTTCCTTATCTGCATGCATAAGCCCTCCCTATACATAGAGTATATTTACCTTGTTTTAGTCTTGGACATAAGGCAATAAAAGAAAAACATCATTAGGCTATCCTTTCTCTGGTCTTAAATTTATCCTTTGATTTTAACCTCTATCACACCAGTGACAGCAAAAGAGGTATGAAAAGTTCAAAAACCACAGTTGTCATTCCAGCTGGGTTGGTTGCCTCAGTCAATATCTCTGCATTCTCCAGCTTCTCCTACATGAAGCTTTCAGGACACAAAGTCTGCACACACCAAAAAAAACCACAAAAAAAAAAAAACAACGAAAAAGCCCTATGGTAACAATAAGAAAAGAACTATTTCCTCCCAGGATAACCTTTGAATGTAATGAAATATAAGGCCTGTACTTCTCTTCTAGATTGTGAATGAGGAACAAGGGTATAGATACAAATGAAACACTAAATCTTTATCCAACTAATAACAATACTAAAAAGCAATCTCAGAGGCCATTATTAGAATAGTGTATATACTATTTCACAGTGACAGCATAACCTCCAATCACCAGCATCTTCAAAAGGGTGTGATGAGCATGAATGAAAATTTGCACATATGTACTACACTAAAGTCCATTCTTAACTGCATTTCACCAGCACTGAGTATTTCTCCTAGCAAAAAATTTTAATAGCAACATATTCTTCTGCATTGTTGAACTGAATGTGGATTTTACACCACAGACACTATTGTAAACATAATATTCAAAAGTAAACTACTATAGTCTCAATCAAATTTACCATTATTTTCACCACTTATATTACACCACAGACATTCTCTGTGAATTTCAGACAAGTTTAATGTTCTTCTGACAGTTTTAAACTTGGAAAATCACTGTAAACCAGATGCACAAACTTAACGTTACACATTGCATTACCACCATGATAATTTCTATTGTATATGCACCTTGATTTATGCAATTTGTCATATTCTATTGTCACTTGAGCATGCTCTTTTACTTCAGGGTACTGTCATTGGAAAGCTAAGGATGAAGGCTCGAGGGATAAATTACATGAAGATGCATAAATCTTCTAGAGAGAAATTACAACTTCCAAAATGGAACATTTGCTTAAAGTATTTGGTCCCAGTCCTTTCTTTTCTCTCTATGAACTGACAAGTAAGATGGTAGTTCAGAACACTTGCTAAATGCTATTTCTGCCATTAAAGCTTTTACACATAACTTGAGAGTCTGTCTACTCAAGTTAGACATCTTTAAATAAGATCTAACCCTGTTCTAAATCTGTTCTCTAGCTATTAATACCTTCTATATACCTAGCAAATCCTGCACCTTAATCGCTAGTGAGCAGTAACTCTTAAATATATTTTTCCTACACTGGGATGGAAGGAAAGGGAAAGGAGAAAGACAAAGAAGGCAACACCATTCTTAATGTTTTTTTCCCAGCACTGTAAACTCATTTTTACACTGAAAGGTGTTCCTCCACAAAGATAAAAATCTTCCATGCATGAAGCTTTACACTGCACATTCACTACACTTGCTTTTTTCCAAGCAATTCTGTCATCTCTCTTTACACTATAACATGGCCCTGCTTCTGAAGTGGCTATACTTTCTATTTAATCTCAGAGATGGATAGGCAACAGTACACTAAAACATTATTTTCCAGCACTTAGTAAAAAAATTGGAAATTAACTGTTCAGTGGGAGAAGTTAAAAAATCAGTGATTAGCTGACTATGCAGAAAAGACTCCTCCTCTACCAGATAGTAGAGGTATTTGGAATACATTTTTGAAGCTTGGGTTTGGTGGAGTTTTGCACATCAATGGTGACATGTTTTACCAAACATGGGTCCTGAAAGCAAGTGTGCTCTCTGCAGTTATCACTCTTGATGTGTTTTCTCATTATGTTTTAAGTCAATTAACTTTAATCATTAAACCATGTAATAATTACAGACATAGAATGCATGCATTTCTAACTACTTTTATAATTAATTTGATAACTAGCTTCAGCTTAGGACAGCCACTAAAGAACACTGCATCCATATAGGTTCCATCTTAGAATTGCACTTACCTGTGCTCAATAAAAGAAATATAGTTTGCCAGATAAGGAATTGGTTCTGAATACTAAAAATATATCAAGTCCCATGTCTAAAAAGTTAGTGAATTTTATATTATTTTCTTCGTAGCACCACTAGATATGAAATATAAAAGTTCCTAAAATTGCATCTAATACACAGGGAAATAAATTGAGGATTTTACAAAGTAATTACACAGTTATTCGGGATTTACAGCACTGAAAATGAAGTGAGAATACAGCCCATTACATATGACAAGTTGTAGAGTAAAAACAGTAAATTGTTGGAAACCAGAGTTCTTGTTCATTTCAGAAAAGAATCACTTTCACTCCACACTCCTTATATTGTTTTTTATTCCTTTGCTTATACATCAGTGTCAGACTCCTTTCCGACAACTGTCTTTGGAAAGAGGGACAGTAAAAATGCATAAGGTAGAGAGTTATACCATGAATTAAACCTGCTATTAACATATAAATTTTATTAAAGCAGAACAGCTGTCTCATGCTTACCTTTGATTTGCCTTTGCTGTAGCAGGCTCTTTTAGTAGCTTCATCACATTGCCATTCCACTGCCTGCAAGAAACAAGAATTGGTTACAAATGCAGGGAACACAGAAATATAAACCTCAGAGTTATCTAAGCCCATGCTTGAGATACGTGTTTCAGGCATACTGATGGTTAGCTGTGGGTGATTCCATCCATAACTTCCTTACAAGCTTTTTCTCCTTAGAAATGTAGTTTTGCTGCTGATGGTTTTTCACTGTCTTAATCCAAAGTGAAGATGGCCATTCCTGTGATGCACTGTACGTACCACTACATGAGAAAAAAATCCCCAGAATCACATTTGATGCTGTTTAGCCACTTTCGTGTGAGGTTTATTGAGGTAAGCAGTTAGGAACCCAGAGAAAGGCTGGCCCTCTCTCCCCAGCAGAGCTGGGCTGCATCAACACAGCATTTGAGGTCAGCTACGCTGAGAGAATTAGCACCATAGAAAACTGCCCTGTTGCTGGTTTTGCAGTATTTATCTCAAGCATCAAATAGAGATTTTAGTTTCTCTAGGTATGACTGCAGCACTAATCAAAAGGACTAAAACATCCATTCAGAGAAAGGAGCAATGGGTAGACACATTAAAGACAACAGTGAAATGGAGCACTGCAAAGCAGAAGCAATTCATCCTCATTTTCGAGCTGTCTCTCTGCTTCCACAAATTTATTCCAGGACTGTAACACCTAGTCCACATTATTACAGTTTCACTGCATGAGTTAACTCCAGTAATTTCCATATTTAACATCCAACAGCTATGACTTACGAACTCTATTGTTCAGCAGAGCAGGTCGCATGTTTGGTGTTTATGTCTCAATACGTGTACGTATTTGAATAGCTGTATATACTGTGCAGAGTGCATTTTAAATCACTTTTTCATCTCGACAGTGCACATCCATGTGTTCTTTAGATAAAAATATCACAAAACACTATACATTTCATCAGGAAGAACTGGCATTTCTGAACTTACCACTGCTGCTTAATTATTAAAACCACAGCTTTTTCATTTTTATTTACCAGGAAATAATGAAAGACTATTCATTCAGATTTAATACAGGTAATTTTTTATACCTGTCTTTTAATGGAGACTATACTAATAGCAAGTAGACTCTATAATTAATAAAAATAATAGGGTGAAAGCCTATTTAAACTAAAGGAGAAAATCCTTTCAGAGTGTATTATGCAGTACTCTTTGGTTTGTGTTTCAAGTGGCCCAAGAATAAGCTTTTTCATTTCAGGAATTAAAAAAGAGACTTATAAAAACTAATGTCATTCCTTCTCTTTCTCCACCCCAAACCTTCTCATTTAAAGTGACTGCTTTTGCAGATGAACAACTACAGCATATTGAGGAATATATCGAAAACTTCTGGAAGAATCCACATCTGAATGACACTAGCATTTACAACAAACTGTATCTAGCAGCATGAAAGAAATCTCATACTGAGTTAGATAAGAAAGCAGAAGACTTTACTCTTCTGACTCTGTAATGCAAAGAGTGATTTACATCCTTAACACAGATCACAGTACCACAGACTGCTCTTAGATGACCAGTGTAAGCTCCTAATCAATCCATTAGGACAGCCTGAACCTGTATGTTATATGGCACTAGATACAAGTATCTGATATGGAATATATTACCTTTAAACAACAAAAAAAGTTTCAAGTGCCTGGAGAAATGCAAGAGTTACCAGTAGGAGGTCAGAGATATAGTGGAATATGGGTGCTTAAAAGGAAGGTTTGAAGGAAAGTTCTTGCCAAAACTAAACAGAAGAATTTGCCAATCATGAACAGCAGGAAGTAAGAAGACAGAAAGACTGGACTAAAGATAAAATCTTTATCAATAAATCAACATTCAGTGACAAAATATCCAGCTTTCAATTAGCTCTTTGTCCACGGTAAAAGAGTAATCTGAAGGAGAAGGATGTAAAATGCAAAAATTGCATTGTCACAAATGAAGAAAATTCAGTACTCTTCTCAGGCACTGAAAGTTTTGGAAAAGAAAATCAACAGACATTGGAGATGGGAAATTCAGAAGTCAAAAGTGACAGTTCTTCAAGCTTTCCATGAAAACTGAGAAAAGCATACAATGTACCTCTGCAAGCAGATCATGGCTAGAGAATCTGGGAACTTCAAACGCATAATAATGCAAGTAAAATTTAGGACAAGTTAGGCAGAAGCTTTATTAACTCTGATCATAGTGAAAGACCATTGGGACAGCTCCCTCTGCTACCCCATTCTCTGTCAAGTGATCACAGAGATCCAGCCTGTATACAGTTTCAGACAAAAAAGAAAAAGGTGAAGAAAAAAAATAATTTCAATGTTAGCAAAACCAGTTACCCAACTCTGTGAGGGATGGACTTCTTAAGAAGCTCGCTAACTGCCACACTTCCAAGAAGGAATCAAACAGTAAATACCATGACAATACAAACATTCAGCTCTTGGTGGAGCCTGTAGGAATGGTATATCCAGTATTACCTTAACTCAGAAGTGGTGAGTTGGAAACAATCGCAGACTGTTAGGTTTTAGTCAAATGTTCTTCTAGTTAGGATAAATGTCTTGGCTAGACCTCTCAGATCTTAAATTTTAATAATTTTAGCACCACATCACATAATCACCAGCACAATTATTAGTGTAACTGAAAATAAACTTTCTTCTTTTCCTTTGACATCAAGAAAAATGCATAGATTTAAATAAAAATATTAAATGTTAAATCATTATGTAGTATTTCTGAATAGCATAGTTAACAGCACATATGAGAACCCAAATAGAATAAACAACTGTAACTATATATATATATATATATATATAGTTACACACACACACATACATACACACACACATGTGCTTGCAAGCTAACCAAATGGCAAACTCTCTGGGAAAAACCTGTTCATGACCACATATGCCAAAGGAGTAATGTCTGGAGAAGCAGTAAGTGGAGACACACTGGTGACAAAGCTAAATGACATCTTTGAAATCAAGTGTATTTATAGTCCTATAGCCCAGGGTTCCACTGCTGGAGGAGGAAACAACAAAGCAGGCTGTAAATGAAGACTATTACAAAGACATCTGAAGAGAACTGAGTAGTTCAAACTGTTGTGCTTTGGTCCCTAAGATTCCACATAGTTCAGTAATGCATACATCCGTACTACTACTGATAAAAGGAAAAGAGCAGGTATAGACAGAAGTTTCTACATACAGCTAAATTTTTCTTCTAATCTTCAGGAAATTTGGGAGTTTTCCATAAAACTGAAATTCAGATATTTGGCACAGTCTACTGGTAATATACAGGGGAAAGACAGGTGGAAAACTCCTCAGGTTAAATGTAATTTCATTTTATGAAAAAAGAGGAGAAAAATGTGTCCTGAACCTTCAGCACATATAAACAAAACAAAATGTCTTAACAGAAGAACAACATGTGGGTGTTGTCAGTAGAAGACTGACTTTGAAGTTTTAATCTTGAAAAACCAGATGGATACATACTGATTGTGTTATTTTAGAAAGCAAGTCCAGAACCAGCTGCATCCAAAGAAGTGTGGCCGGCAGGGCAAGGGAGGTGATTCTGCCCCTCTACTCTGCTCTCGTGAGACCCCACCTGGAGTACTGCATCCGGTTCTGAGGCCCCCAATATAAGGACATCGAGCTGTTGGAGCAGGTCCAGAGGAGGGTCATAGAGATAATCAGAAGGCTGGAGCACCTTCCCTATGAGGACCAACTGAGAGAGTTGGGGCTGTTCAGACTAGAGAAGAGAAGGCTCCAGGGGGACCTTACAGTAGCCTTCCAGTACCTGAGGGGGGTCTACCAGAAAGATGGGGAGGGACTTTTTACAAGGGCACGTAGTGATAGAAAGAGGGGAAATAGTTTTAAGCTAGAAGAGGGTAGATTTAGAGTAGATATTAGGAAGAAATTCTTTACTGTGAGTGTGGTGAGACGCTGGCACAGGTTGCCCAGGCAAGTTGTGGATGCCCCCTCCCTGGAAGTGTTCAAGGCCAGGTTGGACAGGGCTTTGGGCAACCTGGTCTGGTGGGAGGTGTCCCTGCCCATGGCAAGGGGTTGGATTGGATGAGCTTTAAGGTCCCTTCCAAGCTAAACGATTCTATGATTCTATGATTCTTTACTTAAAGATGTCATTGCTATCCAATGCTTGGATTGAATTCATTTGTTCTCTTGCTTGCTATCATTTGCTGGTATTTCCATCAAGTTCAGATGATCAGTGCAAATATGATATGCATACCATGTTGTATATTTGATTCATTATGAAAGCCTACAAAGTTTATCTTTGTTAGGATCTTTTCTTTCCTACATTTCTTAATAAGAAGCTCCAATTTTCACATGACAAAATACAACCTTCATAATTATATGTACTGTTTTTAATTAATATTATAACTCTACTTAAGCTGCAACAAAATTCATTCAGCCATATTATAGACACTAAAGTTTGCTAATTCCAGGGAAAGA